AATTGGACCCCATGACTAACTGCAGGTTGCTTCACACCAAGAGGAGTTTTATTAGCTCTTGAAAACCAGCGTGAATGGAATCAGAGCCTCCATCCATTCCCCGTTCTTCTCATTTTCTTCTTTCAGGGTCAGGGAACTCAGTTCAGAACACAGATCAACAGTTATTTGCATAGATATTCACGGAGACTTGGCCTCCTTCAGTAGGTGTCATTGAGAGAAGTCAGATTCCAGAAGCCTGGAAATGGCCCCTACTTCACTCTTAGGTAAAACCTGAAGATGACTTGGGAGTGTTCCTTGTGTTGTAAAACCAGCACCCTGGCCACCATCTTTAAAAGAAATATTATGAGCTCTACACACTGGGGCAGCTGCCACTGGACAGGATGCCTCTAGGGATAGGGACGCTGTCAGCATGAAGCAGACAGGGCCAAGCATGGCTAATAGTTGGTTGCCTCTGGCCCAGCTGTCCCTTACTAAGTCAAGTCCTAGATATGAAGCTCTTCTTATTCAAGCCTAAGCCTTCCATCCTCTCCTGAGAGCCCGAGAGCCATCTTTTGGCCTCCTCTGAGAAAGATTGTCTGTAATCCTATCCCATAAATGACTAGATAGCTCGGAGGCTGTGTCCGCTGTCCCAGATGGCCTTCCAACACGAGCCCTCACCTGCTGTGAGGTCAGTCAGAGGAACCTGGATGTTAAGACTCTTCCAGAAGATGCTACTGTGGCTACTGGCAAGAGTATACTTGTGCATCGCCAAACAATGACAAATAAGCCACACAGGCCTTTCCAGCTTGGATTAGTGGGTGGAGAGACTCATCAAGCAGAATTCTTCACTACCTTTGTCAGCTACTAAGTTGCTTCTGGGGAGGGCAGTACTTCCTATTTCATTCCCCACCCCCCAAGCCCCTGTATTCCATCACAACTTGAAAACCAAGGGGAAGAGATTTCACACACAGACAGGCAGGCTTCCTCAAAGATGGAGACATGAGGCTGCGTATAAGCCCTGAGAATCTTTCTGAAGCTCACCTTGAGACCTAGGTGGTTAGCCGAGGGTCAAGGTGAATGCTGCCACCCAGAATTTCAAAAGGCAAGGGATGGCAGGGGGCCATGGGAATGAGACCTCAGGTGCCATCTCCCAAGCCGTGGGCTTGATTGAAAAAGAACAAGAAATGATTAAACTAATCTAAAGTCCTATTGCTTACGAAAGGCCCCCCAATATACTCCTTTTATTAGTCCCCGGTTTGCAGCAAGATTCCTTCAGCTTTGAGTACTGAGACTTGGACATGGAATGGAGAGAATCTTAAGCATGTCATACTTTTTGTCTTTTTTGAGTCGTCACTGCTGGTCGGGTCTCAAACCTGTACCCTGGAGACTGCTATAGAGAAAAGACAAGCACGGCGGAAGAATGGGGGTGCCTCTGCACCTCGTACACGGAAGTTCCTCTAAAGAAAACACTCTCTCAAGCTCAAGACGCATTAGGGAGGACCCCTTGGTAGCTCTCCTCTTCCCTTTCAGTCCGCCTTCAGTCTTCTCTGCCGAAACCAGCATGCCGCTGCTAAGTTGTCTGTAGAGTCTTTTGGTGGGCAGGGGAAGGTCAGAAAACAGGGACCAGCAATGTCCAAGTTGTTTGAATTGGTGAAGTAAGACTTTTCAGTTTTGTCTCTAGGCCTCTAGCTGGGCCAGCCCTTGAGAGGACTTACACACGTGTGCCCATGCCCGTCAGAGTCCTAAGATCTGGCCTCAAATGCCCAGAGATAGACAGGTAGGTGTCCCAGTGGGCCTCAGCAGAGGGCAAGAATACGGGTGGCTAGAAGCCTCTCGGCCTTCTAGTTAATATGACCCTTGGCCAAGTTCTTGGAAAAACCGGGTCCATGTTCCTAGAGGGATGTTCTGGTTTGGGACTCTAGTGGGTTTCAGGAGTAGTGCAGGCAAGCTTGTATAGTTTTAACATTCATGGGACATTTCTTTGAGTGAACTGTAAATGAAGCTGTTGGGGGTGGGGAAGAACAGGACCCACAGATTGGAACCAGCAGAGTCCCTGCTGACAGAAGACATGTCCAACGTCCGGGGAGTGCTCCCCAGTGTATCCGATGCACACGAGGCCTAACGGTCCCTCAGGCCTCAAAGCCAGCCTAGCTTCAGCGCGCACTTGGCAAGTGCTTATGCAACAAGCCCCAGACCCAGAGCCCTTTATCCCCAAGATTGGCAGTGGCCATGACCTTCCTCATAAAACCTCTCAACACTCCCTGGGGCCTGCTACAGAAATCCCCCTACCTTAGCCTCCCTTCTCCCGGACTCTCCTCCTGGCTGCTTCAGCTGCCTTTTTTTTTTCTCTTTGCCTGTGTCCGCAGTTACTTTTCACTGATGTGTTGGAAATGGCCTTTTTATTTTGCACAAATAGTTGCACATTTACGGAGGAAATTTAGGAGAGTCCATTTTTAACTCTAAAGGGAACTCGTTTCTTTAAAACTCGCTAGTAAAGCTACGGATGCGGATGGGCCTCGTGGTGAGTGGGAGCCTCCTGTGTGGAAAGAGCATGTTTATTCCTCCTGTACATTCTCCTCTCTTAACTGCTATTAAACAAGAGAGTCTATGTACCTGTTTAAAAAGCCACGGTGTCGTCTCATGGTTTGTTTTTGGGTTTTTTGGGGTTTATTTTTGTTTTTGTTTTTGTTTTGCTCTTCTGCCCCTTTCACACAGTGCAGCTCTGGTTGGTGATCTGGATGGCAGCCATTGCACCCCCTCAACGGGACTGAGGACTAGAGTGGGCAGTAGCCTGCTGGGGGGAGAAAGCCTGCCAGACAAGGGCAAGGAGCCTTTGGAAACATCCCGAACTACTGAGTTAGCTCTTCCTGTCTGTGTAGTTAACACTGGCATCATCACCATCAAGAGGAGTAGCTTTCGAAGTGCCTAATTTGTGTGGAGCACCAGGCGAGGCAACCTGAGGCCTAATGTGTATTGAACACCAACCTGGCAACGGAAAGGCTCCCAGTCAAGACGGGAAGATGTCGGATTATCCAGAACAAAGCCAGGCTGGGAGAAGGGGAGAAAGGAGCCTGTGTTAGAGCTCAGTGTGGGAGAAGGGCAGGCATCGAGGCCTGCTATGGGAATGGGTCCGGTCAGGGAAGACAGCAGAGAGAAAGCAGGATGTTAAGTAGCTGGGCCTTGAAGGACTTAAATTCGAACTGTGTTAAGCTGTGCGAGTATCTGAGGTGCAGACCACATTAGAGTAAAAAGCTGGCCTGAGTCTGGCATGTGCTGGGAGGTTCCCTGTGGAAGCACGTGGAATAAGGCCAGAAATGGTGTAACGGCACCAGCCTGCGTGCCCCCTCAGAAGCCATGAGAACAGGATGGAAAGAATTTCTTCAGTAACAATCTAACTACTGCAGCCAGGTTTCAGTCCCTGCTGTGCCACTTACTAGCTGACTGGCCTTGACCAGTTACCTCCCTAAATCTCATAATCCTCATCGGTGATACAGAATAGTAGTCCTGATGTACAGTGTGGTTGTCAAGTGTGAAGGAGTTATAGATGGTCAAAATGCTTAGCCAGTACCTAGCCATGGCACGTGCACCATTTAAGGCCTTTCCCTCCTTCCTCTCCAATTCCACAACATTCCTCATGGCTGAGCACTGGACAAAAGCATCCAGAGTCTCTCTGCCTGCTGGCTTCTCCCCAAGGCCAGCACGGCATTAATGGCCGTGAGGCCTCCTGAGCTCCCATACATGAAATAGGTGCCAAGCCCTTCAAGTCAGCCAACCGTGTGACTCAGGGTAAAGCCAGCCCTTTAGATGGAATCTGCCCCCTCACCACCACCTAGAACATCCTCTGCTCTCTCTTTGGTGCCAAAGTTTACACTTGGTCCTAAGATTCAGGAGTTCTTAACCAGGAGTCCGTGAATCCTTGGAATATGTGTGTGTGTGTGTGAGTGTACGTGTATGTGCACGTGTGTGCACCAGCTTGCATTCACCCGTGTTCTCTGGATAGAAAGTGCATGGCTTCCATCAATGTCAGAAGAACAATTCAAGACTAAAATACTGAACGATAACCAAATCTCTTAGGAAATACAGATCTCCCGAGGGAAAGACAGACGCCCTGAGCAGTTAGTTCCTCTCCCTGCCTCATAGAATTCTGGCAGATTTTTCAAGACCTACAGTTCTGCAACTTACCTTTTCCAGGAGCCCCCACGTGAACCCCAGGCCATACCTAAAAACCCGTAGAGCCACAATTCCTGGCTTTTTGTATGCAGCCAGGTTAGGGTACTGAGGTGGGCGTGAGGACCTTGCATTTCTGAGAATACGGAGACTTCCAGCTGGTTGGGAAGATTGCAAACAAGAGGGCCCAGTATAGGTACATGGGCCCTCAAAGCCAAACTGAACCTGACTCACCCAGAACATTCCCTATAGCTTCTGAGCACGCACTGGTGCATTCCCCACCCCCCGCCCCCTCCCCCCACCCCACCAAGGCCTTATCCAGAAAGAGAACAGCAGCCATGGTGGGGTTTCCAGGGTGGGATGGGAGGTGGGGGCCCTGGGACAGATGTGAGGCAGTCACCAGCTTGCCCCTTTTCTCACAGCTGGGCTTATCTGCGCACCAGCAGGTGAGGATGGAGAACAGCTAGTGGGGATAAGGGGAGGGAGAGAAAGTGCCAGACCCTTTCCCCAGAGGCCTCAGTTTTGAATTTAATGGGCAGTGTTTGCTGGAATGAGAGAGCCTCACAACCCAAGGGACCAGAAGACAAAAGCTCTGGAGGAAGTGCAAGGAGGAGGAGGAGAGGAGTGGGGGCCTGGGTATTGTGTGGGAGAGCCACCCCTCTATCTGTTTCAATCACTGCCCGGGTTAGGGTTACCCTCCACTTGGCGCCCCCCGCTGCTTTGTGGGGTCTGTGACATCAGCCCTTGTGATGGTAATGGAGGGGCCTCTCTCACAGGGGGCTCCCCTTCCCCAGCCAGCCCACGTCAACTCCCAGAGAGGATTGAAGCTCCTATTCCCTCAGGGTGGGGGCAGGATGTGGGCCCAGAATGGGACCCAAGACAACAGGCCCCCTCCCCGTCTGAACCCACGGCTAAGTGTTATCTTCCAAGCCCAAGCTATGACCTTCCTCTCCCCAAAGCTCCAGAAAAGGAATGGAATCTGAACATTGAGACGCTTTTCTGGCCCTAAACAATCCTTCCATTCTCTAGGCTCAATGATGGGTCTATTTCCTCCTGTAAATGGGTCTCGTAATCTTCAACTTTTACCTTTGCTTCTAAGGGTAATTAATTGGATCTCCCTCTTGTTCTCCCTACACACTCCCCTCTCTGTTACAAGGCTCAGGTTAAGCCGGGTGGATGGCTTTTCTTTCTTTCTATTGCATGGAGTGCTCATTTTTAAAGCCGATGGAGTAAGGGCTTGCCCTCTCCAGTGAACCTCTTCTCCAGAGAAGCCTGCTAGGGAAACACCACTTCCTCGGGCCCAGGAAAGCGGCCTCTGCCCAGCTAAAGGCTTTTCAGAGAGCCAGTTCGGAACAACTGTTTCACTTTTTCTTCCCAGGTATGTTTCCAAGGTTTTAGGGAAGGGGGGTTCGGGCTGTCAATCTCAGGAGCAAAGTGAAGGGTTAAGGGTTGATCTGGACCTTGGAGGGGAAGGGAGGCAAAGGTGGGCACGGGAGAAGTAAGATAAAACAATCAGTTTCCTTTCTTTCCCAAAGTCTGAGGAGAAACAGGCCTCAGGTGCAGGGCAGCAGGAAGGCATCAAGTGGGGAAGAGTGAGGCTAGACCCCATCCGGACAGAGGGAGGAGAAGCTGCTATGGTGAAGCAGGTCATGGGGGCAGGAAGTTGAGCCCCAGAGACACCGATGATTTCTAGGAACTGTGAGCTGGTCTGATGCTCCGACTTGATAACGAGCTCTTCGAAGGCAGGAATGACTTCATATGCCTGTCTGAATCCTTTGCAGCACCTTGCCCAGCAAATGGCACCTGGGCACTCATGACCAGATGAGTCACACTTGCAGTGGGGACAGTCACTACCGGCCGGGGGCGGGGGGGAGGGATGTGGCTGGGGAAGCACCACTCCCTGCAGGGAGAAATATCTTGTGGCCCACACTGTTTCAGAAGGGGATTGAGAATGAAAAGCAAACTAGATTTCAGTCAGTTTTGTTACGGTTTTAAAATTCTCTACAACCATGTACTACCCCACTCTTGGTGTGCCGTGGAGTAAGGAACAGGTTGAAAAGAGACTGAGTCAGGTGAGAAACCAAAACAACAGTTTAATTCCTGACAGGCAGGGTGTGGTCCTGGTGGTGATGGTGGTGGTGGTGGTGGTGGTGGTGGTGGTGGTGAAGGAGTGTGCCCGTGGATGTGTGGATGGGTGGATGAGTATCTAAATACAGAGACCTAATCCCATTTCCCACAATCACTGTTAATTCTATGGTGACGTTCTTTCAGATCATTTGTATATGTATATACTTTTTTCACAAGAAAATAGAATCATGGTATATTATATTACAGGTTTCTTTCCCACTTAATGTATCTTAAACATCTTTCATGGCAGCGTAATAGAATTTCTTCCTTTCTGAAGCCCATGAATGCTTCCACTGCATGGATATACCTGGGGTTTATTTAATTCTGAGTTGGTGAATATCTGGGATGTTTCCAGTATATCACTATTGCGAATAATATCGCAAAACTTTTGTATACATCCTTGCCTTCTTGCATAGTATAAAATTTCAGGAGTAAAACTGATTGGCTAACGGTTGTAAGTATTACAAATCTTAATAGGAATTGTGTATGACTTTTGAAAATCACCAATTTATACTCCTTCCAACAGGAGAATGTGGCAGGGACCCACCCAGCTCCCCCCCCCCAAAATGGCTGACAGGTTGTCCCACAGCATCACTGATTAACTTGTTAATATCATCTTTATCATATATTAAATTCCCATTTATCCTTGGGCCTATTTCTGGACTTTATTTACTGTTCCATGATCATTTCCATTTCTGAGACATTACCATATTGTTTTAGTTACCATATCTTTTTTTAATCTGTTTTAATACCTACTAATCCCTTCCTACATCATGCATTTCTCTTTCAGATTTTTCCTGAATATTTGGATAATTATTCTTCCAGAGTAATTTTATAATTCTTTTTCTCAAGTTTCAAAAGTTCTATTGTGATTTTGACTGGAATTGCACTGAATTTAAAAAATAATTTGCAGATACATAGCATCTTTATAACACTGTCAGTGCGTTGATGAAAAATATCTGTCCTTTTATTCATCATATCTAGATCCCTCTAACAGTTTTAACATTTTCTGCACTTGGAATCTTCACATTTCTTATTTAGCACAACCATGGATATTGAATGTTTTCATTACTGTTGTAAGTGAGAGCTCTCCTTCCATATTCTACGTTTTCTGGTTTGTTTTACTTACAGAAGTAATGTGTAAACATCTATCAGATTGGCAAAGTCCTGCAGTCTGATATTAACAAATGTTGATGAGGATAGGGAGAAAGAGCAGTGGGAAGATACATTAGTGCAACTACTTTCTAAAGCAGTTTTCTGCTGCAGATTCAAATCCCCTATTGCAATTCAAAAAGAAAAAAAAAAAAACTGAAACCTGGAAGTTCTTAACATATTTGGTGGCAAAACCTGACTTGATGGGAGACTATTTATGGTTTTTATTTATCACACGTAACGTGGATATTTTTACTTTTCACCACAGAAAAAGTCATGTATTTGATTATGGAATACTTCTCCCGAACCCTACAAGGGAACGCTATACGGCACATGTACCACGCTGCCCTTCTAAGATCCAAACAGTTCTTATTATGAAACACATTTGGCTCCAACAGTTTTGAACAAGGTATTGTGGGTATGTGTCTGGTGAAGTTAAAGATGTGCATAACCTAAGACTCCGCAACTCCGCTTCTGAGAACATTCCCCAGAGAAACCAATCCATGCGGAGACGCGTTTCAGACTGCACATTCTAGTATTGTTTATGATGATGGAAGAGTAGAAATAACCTAAATGTGGGGCACCTGGGTGTCTCAGTAAGTTGACCATCTGAATTCAGCTCAGGTCATGATCTCACGGTTTGTGAGTTCCAGTCTTCCTTCTCTCTGCCCCTCCCCACTCACTTGCTCTGTGTCTCTCAGCATAAATAAACACAAGGGGGAAAAAAAAAAAAAGGAATAACCTAGATGTCCACCAAGGGGAGAATAGGTTAATTGTGATATACTCATCTAGTAGAGACCGTATAGCAGTTAACAGCTACATGTGCCAACACGAACAGTTTTTAAAATTTCTTGAATAAAAATGCAGGTTGCAGAACGGTAACAGCACAATAGAACTTTAAGTTTGAAAATATGCATGAGAATGACAGACACCAAATTCAGTGTGGTAAACATCTCTGCAGAGTGGGGGGGGGAGGGGATGAGTTTCCCCCCAGATACACAGTAGCCTTTTGCTTTATCTATAAAGTCTTAGCTCTCTCTTTTTTTTAATGTTTATTTATCTGTGAGAGAACACAAACGGTGGGGGGAGGGATGAGAGGGGGACAGAAGATCCTAAACGGGCTCTGCGCTGACAGCAGCAAGCCCGATGTGGGGCTTGAACTCACTAACCATGAGATCATGACCTGAGCTGAAGTCAGACACTCAGCTGAGCCACCCAGGTGCCCCAAAGTCTAATCTCTCTCTCTCTTTTTTTTTTAAATCGGAAATGACTCTGGCAAAATGTTGAGATGTTTTTACAAATGCATAGATTTGTATTCTACATAATAGTCCCAATCCTAAGAATTCTGGAGGGGGAAGCGTAAGCAGACGGAACTAGAGCAGCCGAGCAGCAGAGACCCAGGCATTTTGTGTCTTTCCGTTCTGTCGGGCTTAGCATGCTGAGCATTTCACAGGCACAGGACAGCTGTGTCACCTTCAGGCGGGAGGCAGGGAGAAGGAGGAAGAAGGAAAGGCGAGGAGATGAAGGCCTGCGTGGGCCAAATCTGTTCTGTTCCTTCCTCAGGAGACCATGATTTCTTTCCGTCTTTCTTTAGATTTACAGACTTGCTTCCCTAAAATTATGTTAAGTATTCTCAAAAGTACTTGAACTTACATTACTATTTAAAATGATCTCTTTATATTACAACCTCTTACATCTTATTGGGCAGAAGTGAGCCACGTGGCCACCCCCAAAACCAATCACAGCCAAAGGGAGGAAAATGACCACATTTGGTTTAGACCAACTATGGTCATTCCCTGTAAGCTCCATGAAAACAGTGTTTTGTTCACAGCTTTATCCTGAGTTCCTACAAGAGTTTCTCTTGCATAGACTATGCTTATTAAATTGTATGGAAAGACCCAACAGTATGTTTGAATGAGAAGATAAATGGAGCTGGGGTGGGGGCAGGAGATCAAGAGATCTGCACCACCGTTTGAGCCAGTCTGAGTCCTGTCAGCCGTGAATCAGGGGGCAAAGGGTCGTCAGGAGATCGGGTTTGTCACAATACCCTTGACCACAGAGCCACGTGATGCAAACTATGTATTTGTTACAGATGAACAAATATTTTTTCCTAGCCTTTCACTTAATTTTTTAAATAAGCTTTTTATTTTGAAATAATCTTAGGTTTATAGAGTTCTACAAACTGATCCGGAGTTCTACAGCCCTCACCCAAGTGTCCTCTCCTGTTAACATCTTATATCACCACATACATTTGTGAAAGTGTTAAAACCCAACATTGGTAAATCAGTATGAACTAAACTCAGATCTCAGAGGGCTATCCCCAGCTTTTCTGTTCTGGGATTCAATCTAGGATACCATGGTGTGTTTAGTTGCTACAGCTCCTCGGTATCCTCTGGTCTCTGACAGTTTTTCCATCTTTCTTTATTTTTCATGACCTTAACAGTTTTAGGAGTGCTGGTTAGGCATTTTACAGAATGTCCTTCAATTTGCATTTGTCTGATATTTTTCTCTTGAACAGACAGGGGTTCTGAGCTTTTTGAAAGAATGCCACAGAGGCGAAGCGTCTTCATTATGTATCAGAAATTACATGACATCACTGGGTGATGTGAACTTTGAATACTTGGGTATAGCAGCATCTGCCAGGCTTCTCCACTGTAAAGTGACTCTTTATCCCTGCCCGTACTCTAGCTGGTAGAAGCAAGGCACTAATTGCAGCCCACTGAGCTGTGACAGGGAGGAGTGGGGGTTAAGATTTACCTCCTAGAAAGGGTAGCTAAATAAATTATTTGGAATTCTTCTATAGGAAAGCTTTGGTTCTTCATCTTAATTTATTTAAATCCTTTATTTATCTCAGTAGGGACTTATGTACATGTTTTTGCACCTATTTTTATTTAAATGCTCTTCTCTCTCTCTCCTTGAGAGAGAGAGAGAGAGAGAGAGAGAGAGAGCATGTGAGCAGTGGCGGCAGACAGAGAGGGAGACAGAGACTCTGAAGCAGGCTCTGTGCTGGATCTGCCCAGACAGAACTCCCCAACATGAGATCATGACCTGAGCCGAAGTCAGACACTTAACCCACTGAGTCACCCAGGCACTCCTAGGCTCTTTTCTTCTTTCTGTAATTGTGTATTGCAATATAAGTCACACAGCATAAAATTCATCATTTCGAAATAGACGATTCAGTGGATTTTTGTATACTCACAATATCCTGCAACTATCAGTATCTAATCTCAGAACATTTCTGTCACCCCAAAAGAAACTCTGTACCTATTAGCAATCACTCCCAATGCCCCTCTTGCCCAAATCTACTTTCTATCCCTACTAGTTTGCACATTTTGGACATTTCATCTAAGTGGAATCATATAGTACATGACTTTTGGTATCTGCCTTCACTCACTTAGCATAATGTTTTCAAAGTTTATCCACGTATATAACATGGATCAGTCCTTCAGTCCTCTTATGGCTGAATAATACTCCACTGTATGGACATACTACACTTTGTTACCCATTCAGCTTTGATGGCCCTTTGCACCCTTTCCACTTTTTGGCTATTCTGACTAATGCCGCTATGAACACTGGTGGATATGATTTTTTAACATGTGTTTTCACTTCTCTTAGATACATACCTAGAAGTGGAATTGCTGGGTCATATGTAACTCTGTGTTTAACTTTTTGAGAAACAGCCAAACTGTTTTCCAAAGTGGCTGCCCTATTTTATTTACCTTCCCACCAGCAATGTATGAATGTTCATTGCAGCCTTACCAGTACTTGGTATTTTCTGGGTTTGGGCTTGCTGTTTTTCATAATTGCCATCCTAGTGGCTGTGAGGTGATATCTCACTGTAGTTTTGTTGTGCTTTTCCATAATGACTGGTGATGTTGAGAATCTTTCCATGTGCTTATTGGTCACTTGTATATCATTTCTGGAGAAATGTCTATTCAAATCCCTTTGCTCTTTTTTAAAAAATCAGGTTGCCTTTTTATTGTTAAGTGGTAAGAGTTCTTTATAGAGTCTAGATACTAGTCCCCTGTCAGATACATGATTTGCAAATATTTTCTCCCATTCTGCGAACCTTTCCAGTTTTTGACAGTGTGTTTTCATGCACGGTGTTTTAAATTTTGATGAAGTCTCAGTTTATCTTTTGTTGTTGTCGTTTGTGCTTTTGGTGTGATCTAAGAAACTGTTCTTTATACAAAAGCATGAATATTTATACTTTCATTTCCTCCCAAGAATTTTATAGTTTAAATTCTTATATTTAAGTCTTTCATCATTTTGAGTTGATTTTTGCATGTGGTGTAAGTTAGGGGTCCAAATGCATTCTTTTATATATGGAGGTTCAATCGTCCAACATCATCTGTTGAAAACACTATTGTTTTCCCCCCATTGAATGGTCTTGGCATCCTTGTTGAAATCAAGTGACAATATGGGCTGATTTCTGAACTCTTAGTATTTTGGGGTTTTGGGGGGTTTTTTAAAAAATGTTTATTTTTTTTAAATGTTTTATTCATTTCTAGGAGAGAGAGAGAGACAGCATGAGCAGGGGGAGGGTCAGAGAGAGAGGGAGTCACAGACTCCGAAACAGGCTCCAGGCTCTGAGCCGGCAGTCAGCACAGAGCCCGGTGCGGGGCTCGAACCCACGAACCGCGAGATCATGACCCAAGCGAAAGTCGGACGCTTAACCGACTAAGCCACCCAGGCGCCTCAAAAAATGTTTATTTTTGAGAGAGAGACAGACAGAGCATGAGTGGGGGTAGGGCCAGAGAGAGAGGGAGACAGAATTTGAAGCAGACTCCAGGCTCTGAGCTGTCAGCACAGAGCCCAACATGGGGCTCAAACTCATAAGCTGTGAGATCATGACTTGAGCCCAAGTCAGATGCTTAAGCGACTGAGCCACGCAGGTATCCCTGAACTTTCGGTTTTTAATTCCACTCTCAAAGCTATATGTCTAGCCTTTGGACTTCTGTATTTATTTTATACTTTGGGTTATAATCCAACACCATGTTATTTATTTCTTTGCTCAGTTTTGGCCATTGTGATGCTTTCTCAGGTTGGTTCCTGTCTACCTTTGAAAAACCTCCATCCTCTCATTTATTTTAACATTTCCTTGATTTATGGAACTACAAGATGCTCCAGGTTTATCTTGTACTTTTCCTGTTCCAGTCCTAGACTTAACTACTTCTTCATGGGGCTCTAGCTTTTATGATAGAATGATATTTAGAAACCAAGATCTGGGTACTTAGAGTGCTCATTGCTACTGGGGTGGTGTTTATGGGCTCTCAGAGCTAGATACTTTTTTATATAATAACCCATGTATACACACATATCTGTATTTGTTTCTGTATCTCTACGTCTCTCTGTGTGTGTATGGTGTGTGTGAGTGTGTGTGTGGGAGTGTGTATGAGTTTATACAGGTGTTTCAAATTCTAATCCAGTACCAGAGGGACAATTCTAACCTTTCCTGTTCTCCAATGATGAGAACCTGGCTCCCACCATCTACCAGACATTTACTTATTCATTCAGGCCCACTATACAGTTTCAGAATTTCTAATTCCTATTCACCTATTGTTAATTGGTTGTACTAGCTTTGATCATACAGAATTTTGAAACTTAATGCAGTTTAATTGTCAGTCCTTTCCTTTAAGCATCTAGTTTTGTTTCTTTGTTAGAAAGGCTTTCCCAGCCATCATCAACCTCCAGATTATAAAAACATTTTAGTTTTGTTTTACTTTTAGATAATTCAATTTATCTGGATTCTATTTTGGGATTATATGAAATCCAGCTTTAAACTTTTTTTTTCCTCTCAAATGGCCATCTAAAGGTCCTAAACACCTATCATTATTAGTCAGTCCTTTCCTCACTGATTTGCAATGCATAAGTCTGTTTCTAGACTCCATATCCTACTTGTCCATTTGTCTATTTCTGTGCTAATAGGAGACTTTTAATTTTTAACATCTTAAAATATGTTTTGATAGCTAGTATGGAAAGTCTCCCATCATTGATCATTTTCAAGATTTTCTTAGCTATTCTTGTATGTTTATTATCATGCATGAGCTTTAGATTAATTTGTGAAATTTCATTTATAAAATCCCATAAGGATTTTGATTGTGATTACATTGAATTTATCCAGTTCTGGAGAAACTGACATCCTAACATGGTAAGTCTCTATTTGGGTCTTCTTTCATAAAGTTTTACGCTTTCTTCCCAGAAGTCTTACGTTTTTCACGAATTCACACTATTCACATTATTCATGTAAATTCCATGAATATTCACATTCATTATTTATTTTAAATTATATTTTCAAATTTATTAATGCTAACATATAAGAAAGCTATTGATTATATGTCTGTCATATATCTGAGCAAGTTACTACATGCTTTTCTTAGATCTAATAGCAGAGTAAAATGCAGTAAATAACGGTAAATATGTATTGTATACGTGCATCACCACAGTCAGAAGTAAAACAATAGAAATAATGCAACATAAATTGATCTCAAAAGTAGCATTAACTTTTTAAGAAACCTAAAACCAGATTTATAGTGCAAGATCATTTATGTAAGTTAAAACCGCACACGTACACACGACAGCGTTATTTTCAAAGATAGTGGAGACTTCACCATGGGTATATACCTACACAGGGGCGTATGGGTCTGGGGGTGAAGTGGGGGATCCAAAGTAGGGCCGGAGGAAGGAAATCAAAGCGAAGCCTGTACTGACTGAAAGACCCAAGAACTGAAGACTTGTTTCCTCTCCCTGAGGTCCAAATAAAGGATCTAGAAGCATGAATGCCTATGGTGTGCTCTCACCACAGAGGACGCTGGCTGAGTGGAGGGAGCCCAGGACTGAGGCTGGGAGGGAAGCTGGAGTCAGAGAGCCAGGCTGGGCCCCATCCTGAGGGCAACGGGGAGCTGCTGACAGCTTTTAAGCAGGGAGGAACATTCTGTTTCAAAGGTTCCCTTCTGGTGACCTAGAGGGTAAGGAAGGACTGGAGCGGTGTAGTGTTCAGGAGACTACTTTAAAATCACGGGAGAAAGACCCAGGTCACAAGTTACATGTGTGAGTCTGTGTAAGTACCATGGTGGTCTGGAGTAAGGGGGTCTAGGGACAGTGTAGGACGTCATAATAGACCACCTCCTTTTTCACGGGGACAGTCATGGGCTTTGCTTATTTCAGTAGCTCTCTGAAGAGGTGTGAAGTCTGCCAGCCACATAGGGTCCAGTGACTGAGCCCCTCCTCTCCCAATCCCATTCCTGCCTCCATCCCTGCTTCCCTGGGCACAGAGAGCAGCAGACTCAAGGGCCAATTCCAGCTCTTCCCTCTGGTTCCAGAAGTGACCTTGCACAGGTCACATCTTCTCTCTGGCCTCACTTCCTCTCTCTTCTCTTTCCAGCCTGTACTTTCTTTGGCTTCCTATCATTCCCCTAGCAGTAGCCCCCAACAGGGAAATCTTGCCCCCTCCTGAAATCCGCCCCCTGCCCCAGTGGCTCCAAAGTCCTGACACCCTCCTTAATCTTCCAGCTCCACTGCCCCACCCTGGTGAGGAGGAGCAACAAATTGGTATCGTAATGGCCCTGCTGATTGCATTATGGGTGTCTAATGCAATATGCCCTCATGAGGACCATCCATCAGAGCAGGGCCCCTCCCCAAGTCCCTGCCACCCCAGTCACATTAGTCAGGCAGCCCATTCATCACTACCACACACCTCCATGGACACTGGCCTAGACGGATGAGGGGCCAAATCAGATTTATGGGGAGGAATCGTGGAAAAAATCAGCCCCATCCATCTCCCGGACACTGAGGAGGGAGCCCCATGTCCCCACTCCCTCCGAGGCTCCTTAGGGAAACGGGTGCTAATGGAGAAGCCAGCCAAGTTGCTTTTGTTTTCCTGAAGCTCCATTCCTGAGCCCCTGTGTTGCCTAGCACAGCTCTACAACTAGCTTCTCCAGGAGTTCATAATTTTTGGAGCAAAGCCCCTGCCGGATGGGGACACAGTGCCCAGAGTCAGCCACAACTTCTGAGAACCCAGGGAATTCATTTAACCAAATCCCTGGGTTGTGCCCGTTGCTGTGAGTGGAGGATGGGAAGGAGCAGGCACCAAGCCCAGTTCAGCAGTGAGACCCAGGGCAGCTTGCTTGGGAAAGGTGATTTCACCCCAGCCTTCCCTCTGGATGACACCTTGCCCAGGGATCATGTTAGCTCTGCCGGCCAGACTGGGCAATTCTCCTGTGCATGGAATATACTTGGAGAGGATTGAGAATGAGATGGAATGAGAAGGGGGAAAGCTACCTTTCAGGGCCCAGGATTTATGAGAACAGAAGCCTGTATGATCAGAGGGACCCTCTTTAAGAAAATAATGCAAAAATATGAATTGCTACGGCCACTCTCAGATTTTCAGAAGGAACCTGTACAAGTGAGAGACCCCAAAGTGTCAGCTTCCCCAGCCTTACCTTGAATCTGCCCCTGTTATGAGCCCATCGCTGGGTCAAACATTTATGTGGATTACCTTTTTTTTAAAGCCTCACAACTGCCAACTGTCCAGAAAGGCAAGAACTTATTCTCCCCATTTGCATTTAAAAAATATTGAGACTCAGAGTGAAGTGACTTGGCCAAGACTCTAGAGCTGTAGAAGGCAGAACCGACCCTCTGGCTGGTGCTCATCCTGCCGCCACTTGGCCTATGTTGAGTCGGCTGGTCATGCGGTGGGCAGAGAGGGGCCCCTGGCTTGAATGGCTCCTTTCCAGACAACTCTCTAACTGTGGGCGTGGTGTCCTCTCTCTCAGCTGTCGCTCTGCACCCGAGTGCTGCAGCTGCCTTGGAGGGTCTGGGAGGGACCAGTCAGTCACAGGACAAGGAGGGTGGAAGTTGCTGCAACGTGGAGCCCTGGATCAATGATGGGCCCTCTGAGCTCGGGGCTGCCCCATCAGTAGTTAATCTTGCTTCCCCCAAACTGACCATGGCCCCATCTGAGCTGGGTCCTGGGGGAGGGAGCTCAGCAGCTGAACAGAGCTGAATCTGCTTAGGCAGAGGGCCATGCCGGATCCTTTCCCCACCCACCCTTAAATGTTTATTTTTGAGAGAGAGAAAGAGAGCAAGCAAGGAAGGGGCAGAGAGGGGGCGGACAGAGGATCCAAAGCAGGCTTTGTGCTGACAGCAGAGAGCCTGATGCAGAGCTTGAACTCATGGACCATGAGATCATGACCTGAGCCAAAGCCAGAAGCTCAACTGACTAAGCCACCCAAGCGCCCCCATGCAGGATTCTTCTTTTTTTTATACATATATTTTTTTATTTATTTCTAGGAGAGAGAGAGAGAGAGAGAGAGAGAGCGTGAGCAGGGGAGGGTCAGAGAGAGAGGGAGACACAGACTCCGAAATAGGCTCCAGGCTCTGAGCTGGCAGTCAGCACAGAGCCCGACGCGGGGCCCGAACCCACGAACCATGGATTCTTTGAATGTGAGTGCAGCCTTCTCTGAGAAGCCTGGCCACCCCTACTCCTTCCCTCCTCCCCACAGGCCTCCCTCCCTCCGCCCAGGCTCTGGGAAGGAAGGCGTCTCTCACACTGCAGGCCAAGCCAATCACTGCTCCTCTGGGTACAAAGCTGCTGAGAATGGTGGGCAGTTCTCCTCCTGCCAGGCCAGAGGCTGTGAGGCCATGCGGTTCTGTCCCCCCACCTAGTGTCAGGAGAATGGGGAGTGGCAGGGCACGTGTGGTGTGAAGGAAGGACACATGAGTGTCCTTGAGCACATATGTGTGAGTGCAGTTAGACCATCTGTGAGAATGAGAATGGGAGCATCACCCAGCAGAGGAAGCATGAGACACCCTTCTCTGCTCACTTGCTTCTCCACGTGACGGTTGGGTCTGGTCTCTTCCTCACAGTTGCCTCTTGCCCCTGATGGCAGTGCCTCGTCTCCCCTCAGAGGGCATGCCTAGCCCGCAGGTGTCTGAGCTGGTGCTTAAATAACTAGCGTTACTGGGTAGAGAGTAAGCACCCCTATTTCCCACCCCTCCCTCACCTGTCTCCTGCCCTTCCCTCCTGCCTTCCCCCAGGCCCAGGCCCCTCCAGGTCAAGTCATGCCCCGCCCCCCCCACTTGCTCCTCCGGCTCCTGGACTCCCCTGCAGTGGAGAAGATAACGTGCGGAGTGATTGCACCCCCCTCTGCTGTTTGTCTGCTTCTCTTCCCATCCCCCACTCCCACACGGGTTTTGTGTGTAAGCACTACCTGTTAGGTGTGACCCTTCTTCGGGGCTCACTGGGTGCTGTCATTCCCTGCTCCCCCAGAGGTCCCCTTCCTGTCTCAACCCCGAGCACACAGCAGAAGGCTATGGAGTCTGGTTATGTCTTCCAGGAGGCTACGGTCTACGGGAGATCATAGTGCAATGAGGGTTCTCTACCTGATGAAAGACAAGCGGCCTGGACAGAGTCTCAGCCTGGGGACAGACAAGCTCATACTCACTTAGAAGGTGCCCCTAAAATGTTCATGTCACTATGTAATGTGGCAAAACACCTCAGTGAAACAGACGGTTCTAAATACAATTATAAGATGCAAAAATTAACTCCTAAAAAGGAAGCTGGATAAAGAATCCTACTAATGGGTGTCCATCGGTCAGGGAGCTTTGTGTGCAAGTGCACGCATGTGTGCAGGTGTGTGTGGGTGCGGATGTGCATCCCTAGGTTGAGTAGGGCTGAAATTGCTAAGGGGAGTTTCTCGATAACCCTGGGAGTTTAAGTGCGGAAGGGAAACAAACAAGGTTATCAGTCTCAAGTGAAGTTAATGAGGATGTGTTATGAGCAACGGAAAGAGGTCCCTCTTTCCCAGATTCCTTCTCCTGCACTTGTACCTGGTACTCTCGGGGACTCTCTCCTGGCCTGCTCCTCTTTCTGTGTAGGCTTCTCTATCCCCACGTCTTCCATTAGCATCTGAATACAGATGATGTTCAAATCTCTCTCCAGTCCAGATCTCTCCCTTGTGCCCCAGACTTGCCATATCCAACAGCCCACCAGACAGCTCCATTTGAATAACTCTTATTCATCTGGAACCTTCCAGAGCAAAACCAAACTCATCTTGTGCCCCAAGCCTCACCCTTCTTTGGAGTTCCTTAGCTTAGAGGATAAGATCATCATGCACCTGAAATCCTAACCCCCCTCTCCCTCATCCCTTCACCTGCATTCACTTGCCAGATCTGTCTACTTTTTGATTGAAACTCTAAATACATCTAAAGTCTGCCCACAGTTCTCTATCCTCACTACTAGTGAGGTTTAGTCCTTACTATGCTGGCTAATGGCTCAGACAAATCCCAATTCCCAGGGTTTGAATTCCAGGAGTGATAAAGTCTAACCCCCCAAAATACAGCAGCGTTCACTTGGGCAAGTTTTTGAACTACTTGGTACCTCAGATTCCTCCTCTGTAAAGTGGTGATAATAGTATCCACTTCCTGGGGTCACTGCGAGAATTAAATGAAATAATACATCTGAAGCACTTAAAAAAGTGCCCGGCACAGAGGCAATGCTTAACCAAGTGTTACCTATTACCATTGTGCTATTGTTATCACAATTGTTAGAACTGTTACTATTACCTGAGTTATCCCCCGCCTCCTGCCTGATAGGTCTCCCTGCCCCTGCTCTCAACCACTTCTAACCCAGTTGCCCTTCCACGTTCCGGAGAAGCTCTGAGGCTCCCATGGGGAAGGTAGAGTGCCCTGTGAATAGGTGGCAGACTAGATCTGGGGTCTAGGTCTAATGAGCTCCAGAACGCTTGTTCTTAGCTACTAAGCCGCTCTGCCTATTTGCCGGTGCAAAGAACGAATGGATCTGGAAAGCCGGATTGCGAGGAAGGAATGAAACAAGTGGAGGGGAAACTAAGAAAGGCAGAGGTGCCCCAGATTTTCCCTACAGGCGGCCATCAAGTTGCAGGAGGTGAGAGACCAAGGCCTGGTGCTGAACTTGATTGGAAGAGGAAGCATAGAGTTTGGGGAGTGACCCTGATGGACAGAGTGTGTTAACCAACGTCCTCCCAAGAACTTCCTAGTACCTCCTGAGTGGTCAGGCCCAGGCATGGGGAGGAGGTGAGAGCCTGGAGGGACCACAGGCATGGGCTAGAACAGCCCTGGCCAACAGAATAGTCAGACCATGGGCGTCTCTTGTCTTTGGCCTCCATATCTGTGTCTGAGGAGAAAGCGAAGAGGAGCTGCCGCATCTTAGCCCTCAGTTAGCGTGAGCTGGGGTGGGATGGTTGCCGGCGGAAGTGTGAGAAGAGCAGTGGCAGGGGTGTGGGGGGAGGGCAGAACTCAGTGGGACAAAGCACACAGCCTCCCCACTCTGCCTCTCCGTGTCCTTCTGGCAGAATCCGCAGGAGCCATGGCTTGTGCAAGAGGGATGCTTCAGGGTGCAGAGCTCTGCCAGCGAGGTTCTCAGCGAAGCTCTCTGTCTGAGCTCTCCGGGCAAGGCGCTGGCCACTCAGCCAGCCACGGGAAGGCAGGGTAAGGGCTGGGCTCAATTTGTGCACTGTCTCCAAGCTCTGGATGAGAGCGGATTTTCTGTCAGCCTTGTGTTCTTGTGTCTGAGGCTGGTGCCTTGGGTTGCCACCTTCCCCTCGGCCCCCAAAGAGTGGAAACAAGCGGTCCAGCGCGCCCATCCCCCCCTACCCCGTGTGCCCTGCCTCAGGCCTGAGGCTGCCCTGACAGTTCATCCTCCATCTAGCAATACTCAGAGTTCGGGGGCAGGATGGCACTTTGGAAGAGAAAAGCATGCCCCGTCCCTCTCCTAACCAGACCCCTAAAGGGAAACTGGCTGCACAGGCTGAGTTGGGGGTGGGGTGGGTGCAGAGGCCCCTGCACCTCTCTGAGCCACCTCGCCCAGAAGGCTTCTCCAGCAGCGGGGCGGGGTAGAGAGTCCTGGAAGGAGAAAGCCCCGCTCCAACTTGTCTGACTCAGCCCATGTGAAAATGAACACTGTTCCTTTTAAAAATCAACAATCTTGCAATTTCTGGGATCCGTGGGATCCGTGCAGCTTAGGTCGAGGGTGGGGGGGAAGCAGTTTTTAACACCAAACCACCCGAAGGCAAATTCACTGAGAGCCACCCAACCACATCCCCTGCCTTTCATATCGGTGTTCTACCTTCCACAAAAGCTCTGGGTTCTCTGTCATGCTTTCTTTTCTCTTCCTGGATCCCAATTGTCAAGCCTTCAAGAAAATGCACTTCAGTCCTTTGTCACTGAGTGTAATTTGATAAACTGAGCAGAAACACACTGCTCTCCCCATCCTTTCAAAAACTGTTACTGCCAGAGAAAGAGGCTGAGGGAAAGAGATCTGAGGTCTTTGAATGGACGTTTAAGCACGAGCGCGCGCGCGCGTACACACACACACACACACACACACACACACACAGAGTCTCATGCACATACCAGGACATAGAGTTGCCTGGGATGGGAGGAGGTGGAATCCCAGAGTCTGGAGCGTGGGGGCCTGGCCCTGGGGTCCTGGGGCGGATGCCCTCCCAGCTCCCAGCGACTCCCCTGGTTGCAGGCCTGGTTGCAGCCGCCCAGTGGGCGGTGCCAGGGCAGGTCTCAGGCTATAAAGGGCTCTTGGCTCCCCGGGCCAGAGGGAACGCCATCGCTGCGGCAGTGTCCGTGCCAGCCACAGCCAGCTTGGGGCACTGCCGGTGTCCCATCGCCACCAGGCAGGCTACTCTTTTCCAGGCAGTGCCGATTTGGACACAGCTGTCAGCTGCGTTCCTCGTACCTACCCCGTTCTCTCCATCGGCAAGTCCCTTTCTGGGTTGCTTTCTTCTGGGTTGGGCGTGGGGTGGGAGGAAAAGGGATGGGGATGGGGGCTTTGACAGGGGAGGGTGGGGGTATTTCCATTTCTTTTTAAAATTCCTTCTGGAGCAAGTCTCTGAAGCTGAGATTTCTGAGAAGAGGTATGAGATGAGGCGCGTTCCTTATTCAGGCAAAGGAGAAAGCAGCAAACTTCTTTCCCAAGGGCCTCCCCTTCCCAGGGCCGCAAGAGGGTGGGTGAGGGGCTCCCTCCTAGCCGGGGGTCTCTGGGAGGTCAGGAGTGAGGAGCCAGGCTGTGCCTGCATCGGACACTGGCAGGGAGAGACCCTTGGACAGGGGTCATTATCTGTGAGACAAAACTAAAATTAAAAAAAAATTAAAAATCCAGACAGCCGATGATGATGGGATACCTGGGGGCGGGGCAGGAAGGAGCAATCACACTAAAGGACAAAGAAGAGAGAAGCCCTTAAGAAATAAATAACTGGAGTCCAGAATCAGCTCGGCTCCCCAGTGTCATGAGTAGCCCGATGGCGCCTCCAAAGAGGTGGGTGGGCCGGCGGGACTCCCACAGGTGGTGGTTTGGAAGGGGTCTGTTAATGTTCTAAACAACAGCCTCAGAGACTCTGAAACCGCGAGGAAGGGGGACTGACGAGGATTCAGTTCCCAGGGTCTCTAGAAAGGCAGCATTCATGGCACCAAGGTGATTTTCAAGCAGAGCCGGGCTGACTCGCCACCCCTAACAAGCCTGGACCGGAGGGTCCCCCGCCTCCTTCAAAATAGCCAGGGCACAGTCAGGGAGCGTCCTCTAAACTGTCCTTGAGGACTGGGCACTGGAGAGGCACTGCTGGCCTTGCCGTGCCTGCTCCGGAAGGAGGGCATAGAGTGGGACGTGGTGGACGAGCAGGCCTCGGGGATGACTATGTGGGGCGGCAAGTTGGGACCCAGGGCCAAAGGGACACCGTTGGAGTAGCTGTTTCCGCTGCAGTTCTCGAAAGGTGGAAGGCGGTGGAGGATGTCTGAGCAGGAGCCGGTGTCCCCGGTGGGACCCCTGCTATGCAGGAAACGAAGGTTGCTTCCCCGCTGGATTTGGGGTGTTTCAGGAAAGGGACCTTGCCACCGGCAGGCATGTACTGAGCGGTCTCAGGATGAAATGAGGACCAGCCTGCGGCCTGGAGAGGGAGAAGGGGAGTGGAGAGCTGATTTCCCAGGACTCCTGGATGCCAGCAAGACGGGATGGGGCAAAAAGCCGACAGAACTCCCTGAGGTGAAGTTCTGAGCTTTATCCCTTCGGCTAGACTACCGGGGTCCAAGCCGGGAGACCTAGAAGGCTTTGCATAAACGCTGTAGACCCCTGAATGCCAGCTCTGCTTCCTGGCCCCTGTTCCCCGGTCTCTGCTCTCTGGTCACTGATAGCCTTTGGCTCTGGTTAGAGGAAGCGGAGGTAGTTTTAGGGAAAAGAAAGTAATTAAGTGTAAGTTTTTAAAAATTCAAGCCCGAATGATGCAAAATTGAGTGTAAAATCGACAACTCCCTCTTCTGTCAGCTTGAACGGTCAGAATGGACATTGAACAACGGGGCAGCTGCCCTGTGGGAAAGGATCTCAAGTCTCCCAGGGCTGTGTGCTTACTTGAGGGAGGACTGAGTAGGACAGCACAGTGGGGATGGGTGGAGGGACTCTGGGCCTCAGTTTTCTTATCAGTACAAAAAGTAATATGTGTATCTCATATCTAAAAATAGCATTATCTCACGGGGCTCTATGGAGA